CTTGGAATGACAAAAGTAACACAGACGCAAGAAAGGATGGGGCCAAAGGAGAGAGCCAACTGAGGAAGTCGGCACAGCGTCATGGCCGACACACAAGAGGATGGTGCTGCAAAGAAGCACGGAAGTGGGAGAATAGGGCATTTGAATTATGTACAGTGGATCCTCCTGTTCTCAAATATAAATAATCTCAAATGCATCTTCTTAGCAGAAGGCACTCCGACTTACAATATTCTTTTTTCCCTTACTGGCTTCCAGCGGTGGACGTCTCTGCAAGATTAAAATCATGACTCTATCAGTTATCACATAAATGAAGCATATGATATATGATGCATCAGTGTAAAACCACACTTAACAGTTCCAATTAGAGAATGTAACGGACAGTAACCCAACTAAGGAAGGCATTAAACTACAAAAGCATGTTCATCATCGTGCAAACATTAGTAAATAAGGGATTTTATGCTGTTGAGGAGCACCAGTAATTTTATAAACCTGAAGCACCAATGCTTTATTAAGCATGCTGTTTAACCTTATAGCACTATCCATGTAAACACACATGTGAAGTTTAAAGAGGGAAGAGCATATGATATTGAACCTTGCAGAACATCTTGAAGACTGGAAACACAGCATCATCATCTGCCACCACTTCTGCATGCTTCCTGATTAAAGTGATCCACTGGACTAAAATGTCAAGTCAAAACTCATAGAAGCAGATATGGATCACTGTCATACGCATACGAGCATGCAGTATATTTTATTGATTTGAGATATTACAATTTTTTTTAAAAACATCCGAGCTTCGAAAAACAAGTCTACCTAGCTTATAGATACAAAAACTATTAACTTTAAACGGTGAAAAAAACTGCTGGATGAAACTAAAAATGACTTTCTCTGGATCAGGAACTAAAGGAGATTTTTAAAGAGTAACAATAACTTGAGCACACATAAATTTCGTCAATAAAAAAAATTGTTCTTCTCATTGTGGTTCAGCAACTGTCCTTTAAAATTAGTAGGTCATGATGACATATTAAGGGGCAAAAATCAATCAATATTTCCCACATTGGTAGACCGCCATGCTAAAATCTTTATGTTTAGAACAAAATCTTGATCTGAGAAGAAACTTTCATGGTGTTTGGGTCAACTTACACATACCTCAACTAATTCCACGGGGTACCTGCTTACCCTGTCCACCAATGATTGGACAAATGAGAAGAAATCACTAAATGTTTTTGTCTCCACTAGGATTCGAACCCAATACCTCTTGGTTCTCAACTCACTTCATTGACCATAAGGCCACACCCCATGCTTAAGATGGCGAGGACCCACATATTTCATGGATTATATTTTCGCGTATTGAACTAATTCTTTTATTCACAGATACAAGTTCAACAAAGATCATTAAGATGGTGGGTAAATCCCTTCTGAAAAATATCTTTCAATTTTTGTTAGGTAGTTATATAGGTGGACACATTTCAAGTACATAGGTGCTTTTTAAATCAAGTTTATAGGTGATTTTAGTTGTTATCTGCATAAGTTTTTTGCAGACCTCTTTGGTTCCTGAGTTTCTTTTCACTTTTGTACATCATTTTCCCATTTGAAGGAGCTGGTAAGTGCTCCTTCCCTTTGATCTTTGAACATGATTTTGGATTAATCTGAAGAAACAAGCATTTCAAAGCTTCTAGAGTTGTCACACCCTGCTTGTCAATACCCCTCTACCCTATCATATGCCTTGAATTTTGCTTAGCAAGAAATTAATGAAAATTCAACTCCACTAGAGCAGAAAAATACAGCTGTTAATGGATTTAATTATTTTAATCAGGACAGAGTAATGAATTTCATAGTAGAGGTTGGTGGGACATAGATGTGCTTATAATTCAGACTAAGGGGCAATTACCTGTGACCCTTTTCGCCATTTTCTCATTGGTATATAGGG